TAAACACATAACTTTATGTTTTGGTCCATCTCATGATGTAATTTTTAAATATTAAATGGTTGCTCAGTACTTGAGTAGAGGTTTTATCAAATACTTTTTTTACTCTTAGTTGAGTCATTTCTTTTTACTTTTACCTAAATAAAAATATGTCCAAGTATTATAACAATTTTTTGTGAAACTGTAGCTAACTAGCTAGCATTTTGCTCCTATTATAAGTGAATATTTATTGCCAGTTAGCTCAATGCTACATTCATTCAGTGCAAAAATGTATAGCACAACTACTATATAAAATACGACATTTTCTTTTGTACATTTCTGTTGATCTTAAATTTCATCCTTCAGGAGCTCTGATGGTGTTGTACCTGGAGCGTGAGGCTGGCTGTAGTCCCTCAGGTCATCCAGGTTTTCACACACTATCTCTGTGGACGCCCCGCTGCCCCGCCCACCGCTACAGCTGACCAATAGGAGGTGGGGTTTCACAATGCGACGGGCTCTGGCTCCGATTGGACGTTTCCCGTCAACCTTCACGGAGACGTTCGTCACTGATCCGCCATGCTCGAAGGCGATCGGTGGCGTGTCACTCCAGCCCCCTGAAACACAAACACTGGAGCTCAAAAGCTGAAAATGGTTTCCACAACGTGTGATTTAAAGGCAACCTATTATGCAAATTTCACATTTTGCATGTTTTTATATTTCCGTTTGGGTCTCTACTGCTGCTAAAAATCTCCAGCGCTAAAAAAAAAAAAACAAAAGTTTTTTTAGCAACAAGTTGTTTTTAGGCGTCGGGAAAAGTAGTTATTTCAAAAACCTCCTGATTGTTGAGTCACAGTCAATGTTCAGCAGCAGCTTACTTGCATTTAAAGTGACACAAGCCCTAAAACAGCTCATTTTGGAAGAAGCTCAAAATAAGCAGAAGGACTAAAATCTCTGAATCTAAGAACGATTTTCAAAACTGTCATGAATATGTTTTGTATAGGACATAAACCTATCCAACCTGTTCAAGGAAACATAATAGGTCACCTTTAACAGAAAAGTTACACCTGTTCCTCACCTGCCAGGTCCAGTCTGGCTGGACACTCTACTTCCTGCCACTCCCCGATAGGCGGGGCCTCTCCCTGTCCAATGGAGATGAACCTCTGGGATGACATCACAGCCTGCCGCAGCAACACCTGGCCGGCGCCTTCATAGTGCCGAGCCGCCCGTACGAGCAGGTCTGGCCTGCAGGGGGCAGTAAAGCAGGTCACAACGCATTCAACAAGCAGTGGAAACAGACAGCGAGACGCTAACCTGCTCAGCCAGAGCTGTCGCTGCGCAGCAAGAGCATAAACTCCTCCCCTCAAGTTTCCCTCCTCCAACAGGAAGTAGGCGGAGCTCCAGGCCTCGTTAGCAGCTGGACCGCTCCTCAGGCCCCCTTTACCCTCCGCCATGCACACCAGAACGTCAGCGATGCAGGAGAGACAGCGGGCAGCCACGCCCACCTGTGCTCCTGGCTCCGCCCCCGACTCCACGCTTCCAGCAGCAACTAAAAAACAACGTTTTATTCACTTCTTGATCCTCTTCTGACGCAAAACCATTTAAAAAACGGTTTGATTAATGCAATAACATTTCAGCTAGCAGTGAATTAATGATCAGCTGATCTGTTTTCTGTTTACTGCTTAGAGCGATGCGGCAATCGCTGATGATGTGAGTAGAGATATCAGTCATGTGACAAATAGGTGGATGATAATTATCACTTCTGACAGCGTTGCTTAATATACTTCTATAGTTTTTTAATGATTGTTTTTACTGTTAATATGGTTGTGAGTTAGTATTAAAACTAGCTTAGTGTTCAGTGGTTAGTCTTGAGCTTTGAGCAGTCGGAACCAGACTGATTCCAGGTACATTCTGCATTGTTCAAATTTAAACAGCACTTTTGATAGAGGGAATTAATGCTGATGCTTAGGTCTAATAGCTCACTTGTACTCATTTTATCACAATAGTAAGTCAGAACTTTATTTCTTATTTTTGTATTTTTAGAAACTCCTTCATTATATATGCACCGTTGTAAACTGCAGTTCTTCAATAAAGCCCATGTAAACATCTGATGACCACAGGGTTTTCATGTAGTCGTCAATTAAGCAAATCCAGAGGTGAAAGAACCTCAACAGAGGGGAATTGGTTTTTCTGATGTTTGGATTGTTTGACAGTGTGAAGGAGAACAGCAGCAGCTGAAAACATAACAAATGTTGCAGTTTGGTCCCAAATCGAACCAAATCTGCCGAACTACCAGGTGTGAAAACAAAATGGCAGACTGCCTCGTGTCATGAAAACCAGCTTGTAACTCACTGCTGTCCAGAGTCTCCAGTAGCGCCCCCTGCTGCCCTCCCTGCACTGCCACCCTGAAGCAAGGCAGCAGACAGACGTCGGTGCGACTCTGCAGAGCGTCGGCGGTTCTCTTCCTCCCTGCCAGGAACAGCAGCTCCTCCCTCCACTGCAGCTCCGCCTCCTGGTGGGTGAGTGACAGCACCTCCCTCAGAGAGACTCTCCACGCCTCCCTCCACCTCTGCAGGCAGCCTGGACCCCCCAGCAGCCAGCCCACTCCTCCCTCAAGGCCCACAGTGCCCCCTCTGGGATGGAGGACCGGGAAAAGCCGAGCCTCCAAGAGGGAGCACTGTTCTCCTTTTACCCACAGCTCCTCCGGCCTGAGGAGGAGAAAAGAGGAGAAAACGAATAAAACACACAACAAACAGCTGCAACATACAGGAATAATCTGATGTTTATAAAGAAAAAGACATAAAAAAATGATCAAACTGGAAAGGTTTGGATCTTACTGTATTCCTGAGGAGCTGAAGAAAACAGTCCAGGTCTGGTTGAGGAAGGAGGCGCCGCTTCCATTAAAGGGAACCTGAAGGGAGGAGGAGAAGAAGATGGAGGAGGAAGACTGTGGTCATTTAAAGTACATGATCTATCTATCTATCTATCTATCTATCTATCTATCTATCTGGAGCCTTCATTATAACACTTGTGTGTTTAAATATTATTTTATCAATCAAATCAAAGCAGTTTTTATCTGAATATTGCCAAATTACATCAACAGATTGCTGCACTTTTTCCTCACAAATGCATAGTTCTGAGTTTATTGCTTTTTTTTTTTTTTTTTTTTTGCAAAAATGGTCAAAAATGTTGGGCTAAAGTGATGCTAACTCCCACCTGCAGGTGGCAGTATTTCTTATTTTTGCTAATCTTTAGCTGCTAAAGTTTAGCGGCTAAAAGCAGCAGCAGTAAAGGCTAAACTTTAGCCTCTATTGATGACAAATAATAGTGGGCCGGTCAAAATGGAAAGTTACAAAAAGTTATATTTAACTACTTGAAATCCCCTGGACTTCTGAAAAACAGAGTTCACTTTGCTTCGTGTTAAGTTTATAAAAAACTAAGCTGCGGTCTGCTTCCCTCAGCATCACAGTGTCTCCATGACAACCATGAAACCCACCTGAGGGCTTCAGATGAAACAGACCTGCTGCGTTTTTACCTGCAGGTCGTCGTGAGTGCCGACCACCGTGTACACGTTTAGCTTCAGCTCCCCCAGCTCAATCCGATGTCCCTGGATGATGATGTCACTGCTGAGCACGACCCGCCTGAGGCACGTTGACGCCGAGACGTCTACACCTGAGAGCAAACAACCAGACGGGATGTCCAGAGGACCCTGAGGGACGCCAGAAGACAGAATATGAACCACCATACAAACCTGCTGTATTCAGATGAATTAGTTTCACATTCAGATTCACTGATTTACTTTTTAATTTACTGCTTTTTAATGTAAAAATAATTTGAGCATCACTTAGGATGTAAATGTCAGTTATGATGTAGACAGAATTTGCTTGACATGGAGCCATAGACCTATCCGAACCTGTTCAAGGTCACCTTTAATATCTTGGATCTTGCAAATTTCAACACTACAATAGCAGCATATCATTCAAAGATTTTAAATATTTACAGATATCTTCAGATGAGAGTAAAGTTTGAATAAAGTTGTCAGAAATGGTAAGATCAAAGATCTGTGCTTATTTACAGATCTATAAAAAAAACTACTGACTTTGAGTCCATACTTCTCACTTTTGTGGGATAATTATTAAATTTTTTTGTCCAGTTTTTCCACCTAATAAAATTTCCACCCAGTGTTTCCTTGAAAAGACTGAGTTAAGACTCTCTCTGACCTGTAGGTGGCAGTGTTGCACCACTGCCTGGGTCGCCACGGCAACGTCTCCATCCAGAGCGCTGTTGATGACCCGAGCTCCTTCACTGAGCAATTTCTCATTCTGGAGGGATTAAAGCAGGTTAAAGCTATGAGCCACCATCATGATCAATATGAATTATTAGTGATTTTTCTAAAATTCAACAAATCATTTCTTTTTCTGAGGCGTTAAAAGTCTGGTGGTGTCCCGAAGGGATCAATTTTTGACCCTTTTTGTATGATCTAGACCTGCTTTCAATTCAGTTTTAATTGTGGATGACGTTGATGAAGAAGAGTGAGACGTGCCACCTGAATGTGCGACAGAGTGTTTCCAACCGTCCAATCAGAAGTCAGACGTTCGACATGCTGCTTCCCGGACAGAGTCAGGTAGTCATAGCGACCGCCAGGGATGTACACTGTGAGAACGACAAACAGGTTATGTTTAAACTCAGACCAGCTACCTGCAGATGTAAGCATCGTCTGATCCTGACCCAGTGAGAGTGGAGCTCCTCTCAGGATCCTCCACAGCTCCGCCCTGCCCGCCCTCACTGTCGCCCCCTGGGGACCGTCTGTGGGACTGCAGCCTGCTCTCCCCTCATTCACAAACTGATCCTGGGTCAGATCTGAGCAGAGACACTTCAACAAGTCCAAGAAGAGGGAGATCTGTGGACAGAGACGGAAAGCTCCGTTCTAACAACTAAATCTATTAACATTCAAGCTTTAATTTAATTAGCTGAACATCATTAAATAATAGATTATTAGTCAACAAAGTAGCAGCGTATTGGTTGAAACTGTCACCATTTCGCTAAGCAAGGTGGTGGGATCAACTACTCACTCTTTGGTTACCTAGCAACTCACTTATTCTTTGGTTACCTAGCAACAACTCGATGAGTAAACTACTCAGCAGCAGTTTATGGTTTTCGACTGATATGAAACGCTTAAAGTTTTTCCGTTTAAAATTATCCAGTTTTATCCAAATTTTTGCTCCTTTTATTTTTATGCAATTATGAGGCATGATAGCAAAACCTTCATCTGCTGCTGCATAAGTTACTCAACAAGTTGTTGCTAGGTAACCAAAGTATGTCGCTAGGTAACCAAAGAATGATTGTTCAATTTCTAAACTGGAGTTTTGTTGAGTAACCCCAGTTCACCCAACAGGTCAGGAAATCATGATAGGTTTTTCAGTTAATGATGTGATCTGATGAAGGAAGCTACCTGGAGGGGCGGAGCTCCAGAGTCCAGGCCCAGGTAGGTGCAGCCGTCCAGAGGAGGACTGACGTGAGTCTGCAGCAGTTTCTCTGAGACGGACCTGCAGAAGAAGACCGGGCCTGACACCTGCAGGGATTTCACAGGATTTGTTTAAGCTGCTGCTGCCTGCGGTGGAGCGTCTATAAAATATTCAATGACGCACCAGCGGGACTTTCCCATCAGGCATCAGGGCTCGTTGGATCTCCTCCCTGGTTCCTCTGTAGATGATGTCACGGACCCAACCCTGGAGACAACGACCCCTGACATCATCAGCTGACCCCAGCAGCAAGAGAAATCACACAAAAGGTTTCCACACCTGCGAGTCGCTCAGGTAGACTCCATGATCAGCTGCGTACGAGACGTCGCCTGGTACCGCCAAAACCCGAACTCCAGAGAACCCGTCCCAGGATAAAACTGGACGCAAAATCATTTAACGATCAGAAAACTGACAATTAAAGACTGATTGATTTGTGATGATCAAAACTGTGACATAGGCCTAGGCCTGTTACAATAAGCAATAATTCAATTAGTCACATGATAAATTAAAACAATAATTTTAATTTGCATGATTAATTGTTTTTCTTTTTACCAAAACTGGATGATAAAGGTGTTCAGTCTGGTGCTTCAGCGTCAACTAGCTCTTTATTTGAAGGACAATTTTGTTTACAGAGACTTCATAATTTATATTATTTGCTGTTTCTGTTGTTTTGTTTATCTATTTTGGATATTTAAAATGTTTTCCAGTTCCAGTGATAAATGTTGATTGGAATTTAAAGCTTACTGAACTTTGAGAATGTGTTATTATTATTATGCCTTTACTGTCATATGACTTGAAAATGGTCTCAAAACAACAATATATTGCAATAATTTCTGGGACAATTTATTGTTTAGCAAAATTCATTATTGTGAAAGGCCTAATCCGGATCAGAACCAGATTCTGCTGCATCGTGGAAGACAAACTCACCAAAGTCTGTCGGGACGGAGAGGATCATGTCGGTGCTGCAGACCCAGACTCCAGGAGGAGAACCCGGACAGATCTGAAAGCCAGACAAGATGAATGATGGTGGAGAACTCTGCGGTACCAGCCTGTTTCTGATTCTTCTGTTTCACTGAGCAGACCTGGGAGCTGAGTCGGTCCAGCAGCACATCCAGAACACAAACCGGCGCCTGGACTTTCTGCCCGGGCTTCTCTTCGGGAAGCCAACAGAAGGCTCGGCTGCAGGGGCTCCAGGGAAAATCCCGACCCTGGGAGAGGAAAAAAAAATTAAAATCTACAGCATGAAAACACCAGAACAGAACCAAACTCAGGTCTGGACTCACTGTGTGCAGGATGAGGATGTGAGCGTCATCCAGGACGTCAGCGGTCACTACCTGGAAACAAACAAAGAATAAAGGAGGCAGATTAGCTCCAATAACATGAAACAGTTTAACTTTTTACCTCCTGACTAGCCTGCCCATGTGAAAAATATATACACTTAAGTTTTCTAAAATCTAATATATTACATATATTTCAGAAAGTATAGTAAAAGTGCTATTTTGAAACTACTTGTTTTGTACTTTAGCTGAATTTAAATACAATTAAAATGGAACAACTTTATGTACATTAATAATACTTGAAATATATTTGAATTTTTGTGCTTATTTTTGCTAAAATAATACATTTTGACATTATTTTAAGTGTAATGCTTTTACTTCTGATTTTATACTTGGCCATTATGACTGCCTATCATTGCAGATAAAAAAGACAGAGTACACTCAAAAATTTTCTCAAAAAAAACTTGAACATTTCTGAGTTAGAAGAGTGAACAATTTTCGACTTTTAATAGAAAATTTCTGAGATTAATCTAAAGATTTCTGAGATTTTTTATAGAGTTTGTTTACTTTTAAAATTCAGTTTTAATACTTTCAAATTCATGTTTTTAATGGAAAATTGTTTAGATTAATTTACAACAAAGAAAATTTCTGAATTTTCTTTGTAGCTTTTTCAACTTTAGGAGCTCAGAAATTTTCTTTCTTTTTTTTTTTTTTTTTTTTTTTTTTAAAATTTTTACAAATATTATTAAATTTTTATTTTTTTTTTTTTCCC